GTGAGCCCGTTACAAGGCCATCTGGATAACACATTATTCCTTCGGTTAAGCTATGCTTTTGAAAATGCAAAGAAAAGGTGTGTGATATTAAATTAGATACCTATGTAAATCATTTGCTTTCAATATTTGGAGCAGGGTGAGATTTTATTTTTTGTATTTTCTGTATGACAAGTGCTATTTCACGAGAGGAAATGCCCCTAGCTTGAACCATCGCCCTTTGTTAAGATTTGTTTACAATTATATGCCTGTAAAGATTTTTGCTTACTTATATAAGCTCTATTATTTTGCAGTAGCTTACTGATCTCAATTCACTCCTCTGAATGAAATTAGAGCTTTTTAATGATGAAGAAGTCTGTGTGAGGAGATGTTAAGTTAGGTTAAGTAATGCCTTGATTTGTTAGTGTTTATCTGTGTTGAAAGAACTTGAACTATCCTATGATTAACACCTTCTCTTCCTCTCTTCTCACCCCTCAAAATATTATAAGCAGTAATTGCAAAATATACAAATAGAGCAAAGAAAGCCTTCAAATACAGTTGTACCAAGCAATAGAAGTAATGAATAAAATAAAACGTGAAGGACAATCAAAGGTGAGAAATGCTAAAAGCAGACTCATATAATAGAACAATAGAGATACTAAAACAGTAGAGAAGGATATTCTAGAAGAATCCCCAAATTACTGTACCTTAGTGACTTGGATATGGGTACCTTACCAAACCATTCTGTCACTGGCAATAATCATAATTGTGTTATATGTTGCTTTGTATATGTATACACACACACACACACACACACACACACACACATATATATATATATCACATATTATATAATACATACTCTTCTATTCTATTATTTCTATACTTTGATATTTTCCCTTTCAGTCTCTGTGTTCCGAAAGTGATCATATAGTTTTGTGCTATGATGTCCTCTCTAAATAAAAGGAGGGAATGATCATTTTAAAGTGATAATCTTTCCACTTAGTTGTTATATTTGTCTTAGAAATGATGAAAAATAGGAGGAGAAATAATCTGGTTTGTACCAGATTTCTGAGATATATTATATCTACATATATATGTAAGTACATACATATGTGCATATATGTATAAAATCCTGTAAGACATACATATATCTTACAGGAGTTTATAAAAGGGATAAGATATATACATATCTTATAGGATTTTATACATACATTTTATTTTACATTTTCATACCTTTTAAAACCTATTAATCTTTGGCTTTTTTTCATTTTGAGTATTTTTTATATCCATTAAAATGTTTAATGGCTAAAAGAACTTTTAGAAAAATCCCACTTATTCAGTAAGCAGAATTTAGGTTAAAATGCAGAATTTTCTAATATAATTAGAATTTCATTATTTTAGATAAAGTCTACAGTGACATATTTACTTTTGATAAGAATCATCACATGAAATATGTTCTCCCTCTTTTCCCCCAGACCATTGTAAAAAAAGTGCGATGAAGTTCAGTAATAGCTAGTAAGGAGCCAAGATAGAATCAAATTACTGGGAAATATTTTTTGTGAATTTAATATAAACCACATGTGATGAACAAAAGGCATTAGCAGGGGAGAGATTTTCATTTTATGGGTTAATTGATTTTCCAAAAAATTAGGAATGGAAAAAAAAGCCAAATGGTGCCTATACCTTAAACTGATGAACCCCCATCTCTGACTCTTCGAAAGAAGCAAGCAAGCAAGAATGGCTTAGTAAGGACAGATAGCACACAACTGATAACAAATGGAATACGAATAATTTTACTTATGAAAGTTAAAATATCAGCATCACTGTGATAGATAGAATATTGAATTTTTTACCTTCCCTAACAGATATCAAGAAACAAAGGTGAACTTTAAAATTCTCTAATGGCAACTGATGTCCTTAATTCTTACTAGTGCTGAGGATTTTATTCTGTAAATAGCCTGAAGAAGCCTAAGTTCAGAACTTTTCCAAACAAAGACTACCATAACTACTTGCCAAATTGTTATAAATTATATGAGCTGAATATTATTTTTTTAATTCAAAATGTTGCTCACTAGGGATTGAGCTGAGGATATCAAACTTTATTTGCTTAGAACTTCAATTAAAAAGTAGAACAAAACAAAAAGCCTATCAAAAACCTTGTGATCATGCCAGCTGAAATAAAATAATTAATCTGCCCTGATCTAATAATTCAAATTCCCAGGATTTTATTATCTTTTGGTGGCCGGGAGAGGACAGAAGAGAAGAGAACTTCTGGTTTTGATTAATAACACCAAAAAGAAAGCACAAAAGACATGCCATCATCAACAGAATGATTTTCATAGATAATTCTGATCTTTGAGCAGAATATAATTTGAAATGGGAGCAGAAAGAAGAAAAGAGGAAATCAAGTTATTTTGCTTTATCAGGATGATTCCATTTCAAAGCATTACCAGTAAAAAGAGGTTTATTGACAGAGGGAAAAAAAGGGTTTTTTTTGATGTTGGATTTTTTGGGGGTGGGTGGGTGGGGAGGACTTCACTAGGACACAACTCCCCAGTTTTCCTTTCTTTGAGAGTTACCTGTGTTCTAGACTAACTCAGTAAAACAGATTTCCTATTCTTTCTTAACAATTCACTTTTGAAATGAAACAGATTAGCTGTTGGCTAGAAGCAATATTTTCTATAGTACAACCTATTTATACCAAGTCTTTGTAAACTGAACCCACATTATTTAAACCCTAAGATCCCCTCAAGATGGAGAGTCACCTACCTGCAGACCCAATTTTTGTGACCAACCAATGTATAGGCAAAATGAAAACAAAATATGCTAACTGGATAAAATAGCCATGTGCCCCAACTGGAAGCCCCATTACTTGAGTCATTCAAACCTGAACTGGACAAAGAACCAGAAAATGTGTTGTAAGAAATAAACCTACACTTTCAGGGCAGGGTAAAGATGACCTAATTGTTTCTCCTCTCCACCCTACTCTAATTTCTATGATTTTTTCCTAAGAAAATAGATCCTGCCACACTGTTATAAAAACTTATGCCCCAACAAGATAGAGCCTCTGATTAAAAACATTTTATAATCTCTCACATTCAAGCACTGCCACCCTCAAAAGGCTTGAACAGGTTGGGACAATTTTCCCCAGGAACAGCACTTTCCCAACACAAAGGAAAAGTGTTGTTTTCATCATTCGAGTTGCTTAAATGCCAGTTCAATAGTATGTTTCTAGTTTGGATTCTATTTCCTAAAACTGAAATTTAGGTTCACCTCTCCCACTACCCAGTCTTTCCTTCACATGCCTGGTGGCCTCATTCCTTGGCATCCAGCACCACACAAACACAGGCTGTTGATGGGTTTACTGCAAGCCCAGATTGGGGATCTGCAGGTTTTGTCATTTTTAAGGTCAACCGCTTACCCCAGCTTATTATTTCGGTAGAAAGTATTTATCCCTATGAGTACTCCTGCACTGGCATGAGGTACACACCAGTGATACCAAAATCCATTTTGCAAGTGTGCATGTGTGCACAGGCAGGCAGATATGAGTGAGAGAAGAGAAAATGATAAAATTATTTTGCATGCATGAGTTTTCCAGGATGTATTCAAGTCTACACTGGATTTCTCATGGGAACTGAATGAGGGCTGGAGGAGCTGAGTGAGATGCAGAAATAAAACAAATTAACTACCAAAATAAAAATAGTTCTCCAGGAAGCATAAGCAGGTAACCAGAGATAGATGTCCCTCCATCTCAAAATAAATTGCTACCACCTATCACAGAACCAGGAGGTGGGAGGCAGACTGAAGCTAGTTTTTCCAATTTTTAGCATAGTTCAACTTCTGGGATTTAAAAAAGTGTGTGTGTGTGTGTGTGTGTGTGTTGTGTGTGTGTGTGTGTGTGTATGAATCGCTAAATCCCAGGGGTGGCATTGGAGGAGAGAAAGAGAGTAAGGCCAGAAAATGAAGGATTTCATGCTGTCACCCATTTCCCTAAGTCTCTCAGATTTTAAAGCCTTATGTTCTGGTAGTATAAAATGCAAAAAGAGATACTTGTCAAATTTATCCTACAGTTTCACCACAGAAGAAAAAGGGTTACAGAGTATTTTCTGCTTGTTTAAAAATTAGTCCCTTAATAAATTTTCAGCGGTCTTTCTCTTGCTAAGCAACCTTCTATTGCCACTACCACAACTTCATCCCTTCATACCAGGGTCAGCTTGAGCTATTAACTAGTAGAAACAGATTTACAGATGCAACTTTTTTCTTTCCTCTAAAAAAGAGGCAAACTGGATTACAGCAAATAACCTTTAAGATAATTAACTGACAATGCTGCAACTGGCATAAAATCTTCCTTCCGGCGACACCTAATTTAAGTATTACTGGCACAAAGTGGAGACAGATTGTGCATCACCACTGCAATATTTACATAGCAGAAACCCACAGAGCAGGAAACGTGAGACTCAATGATGCACTAAATTAGGAACAACCATATTCCAGTGTTAATTTGCTTTCTACTCAATCCAAATCTCAGGTCCAGAAATTGGTACAAATGCACATAAAACCGCCCACTTTTAAATGACTAATTCTGAAGAGATGTTTTTCCACATTAAAAAAAGAGTTGGAATTTATTTATTCTCCCACAAGAAACATTTAGCCAAACGGTGTTCATTTCATTACAATTTGCTCGTGCTTCAATTTCAAATTATTCTCATACCCATGCTTCACTCATATCTGTACATTAAAACTAAGAGCCTTTTTATATTTCCCCAGTGCTGGCAATCTATCTTATGCAATGTGGAAAAATGGATTCAGTGGACTTTAAAATTCTGCTTAGGAAAGTGGGGAAAGTGAATAAAAAATGTCAACCACATGAAATCTTTTCACTTATGATACTGTCCTGGAAAATCATTAATTGATATAGGGCAGTTTAAAAAAACCACTTACACTTAAATACCATCTTCAATACTTTAAAAGTACCCTTTTGAATATTATAATATATATAAGGCATTTAACAAGACCATTACCTTTCCTAATTGTTGATGTTCTTTAAAAGCCGAAATCAGTTCTTTGGCCCACTTAATCTTTTCACTCGTTGGAGAAAACTGCTCCTGGACCACTGCAATTTGGTTTGGGTGGATCACCTGCTTACCTACAAGAAGATTAATAACACTGGAAACATGAAACAACAAACAGATGTTCAAACAAAATGTTTCAACCACTCGAGGATCCTGAATGCCTTATAGACTGTAGGTTAAATAACTAATTATTTTAGTACTTGGAAAAAAAAAAAAAGACCAGCAAGTAGGCAGGCTTTCTCTAGATCTCAGAATAAGAACAAACAAAACAATGGGAGTAATTGCATTTGTTTCCATATAGAAGTACAATTCTACTCAATCAGCACAGATAATTTCCTATTTCTAGTTACAGGTGTATAGCCAGGGCAAATGCTTAGAGTCACAGTTTTGACTGGAATTGAAATCTGTCTACCCCTTTAAATGGTGATATTTTTGAAAATTTCTTTGAGTTAAAATAGAAATGAAATCCAATTAAATGATGAGTATTACATTTTATGAGTAACTCTTTCTATACGTTGCAGAATTCTCCCAAGTTACATATGTTTAAGAAGCTGCATTTTGACTTCCATAAAGCCCAAAGAAATAAAATGACCAGCACAATTACCTTAGATACTGTCAACAATCAAATCTATAATTTACTTTGATTTACTGTACATTTTTGCAATAAGAAAAAAGTGTTGAAAAGACTGTGCAGTTTTGGAAAAAAGACTTAGAATTACTAAAGACTATTCTGACCACAGGAACCAACAAGACACCCAGATTCCCCTTTTTGACTGGAGAAATTAGGGGATTTGATTTGTTTCTCAGCTAGCTAGCCATATGCCATTCTTCAAAAGGAACTTTTTTCTCTATGATGAAAACATTGAGATCATATCATATTTACTATATTTGTTGATGGATAGAAATAAAAACCTGACTAAAGATCAAAACTGTCAAAGGAAATAATGGAAATGATAGAGGCATTTTTTTAAGCAGTTCAACAAATGACCAAGGAAACAAAGATTCCAATCAGAGCATATTAATAAAATGTAACATAATTTAGTGGGACAGTAATGATGCTATTATATTTCATTACATGACAAAATGATTTCATGTTTATGGATTGAAAATGAATATATGATTAATAATAACTCACACTGGTGAGTATATTTTGGTACATTTCTTTCATTTGTATTTTTAGCCACTAATTTTTTTTAGCATTTAGTAAATATAATTTTTATCCTTTATGTTTTATAAAATATCACCTTCACTAATGTCATCATTACATTTGAGTCAAAATAAGAATGACATTTGTATTAAAAAATGTTTATTTCAATATTTCACATGGAAGAAGTATGATTCTTTGAATTGATATAATTAAAACAACCTTAAGTAACCTTTTCTTGCCCATCTATGACTGTTAGACTTTTCATAAAAAAAGATTTGGGCAAAACAAAGTAAATATATATTAAATCATTCAGATAATTTCTGGAAAGAAATAAAGTTCTTGATATCAGAGTCCTTCAGCATTAGATGCTGAAAACTTTATTTTGAAAATCAAATTGTGACACTATTCCTAGGAACAGGAGCCAGTTGCATATTGGCATTCATCTCCCACTCAGAGTTGATACTGAATTTTAAACCTGTATACATAGTTCATTTCGATGTCCAAAGATCCAGATCTCATGGAAGCAATGTGTTCTAGGTTTTTCAAACTGAAGAACAAGTATAGTCTGCATAAAGCATTCTAAGACTAATGTCCAATAGTTTCCAGACTTGTCCCTGGATTTTGGAAATGAAAATGATATTTAAGATATATGGAAACAGACAAACCCTATCAACAGAGACACTAGAAGGCAAATTTCAGAGAAAATATCCAACATGAATTTTATAGTGTTGGTTTCCCTTTGGTTATATCTTATGTATCCCAACAACTGTATAATAGCCTTTAATGCTATGCAGGAATGAGGCAAATATTTTATACTCAAGTGTTGTTATTGACAAGTTACTGAGAGGGTGCAAAATTGGAAGACATTAAAATTTATGACCATGAAATCCTTTTTACAGTACCACTTGATATATCGTGCTTTAAATCAATACCTGTCAAGTCTTTTAGGTAACTGTATGATGGTGTCATTTTTTTCTTCCACAAAAGACTTAGAAAAAGGAGAAAACCTATAGTACTTCATATTTATATCTTTCTTCCCAGCATGTAGTAGTGGAAAAACTATAATAACAAAGTCAACTGTTGAAGCTTTATTCTAAGGTTTACTTTTTCGTGGTGTAATTTTTGTTGGTGGGTTTTTTTTTTATGCCTTTTGGACAGAAAATATTCTAAGTTTAATGACCACTGACATAGATAAGGCATTGACTTAAAAATCAACCCCTATGGATTTTGACTGTGTAAAACAATTTAGGGTATAAAAATAAATGCCAATCCAGTGGTGAGACATTACCCAGGCTGTGTCCAGGGATAAAAACTTAAAGAAGAGATAACTCACTTAAAACATGTCATTTTAAAAGTGAGAACCTTGAAGAGTTTGCCCTCCCCAATTCCATGCAATGGACACTTTTCTTCTGTCAAAAAGTAGATTTTAAAAACTTGCACTGCTTGTTTTGGAGATTTTATTTCTTTGTGATAAGACATGTAGCAATTAAATGCTAGGATAAACAAGCCCTAAGTGGTATAAAAGATAAGTCATTACAAAATCCTTAATTGACATGCTGAAAGCAGGGATATGCAAGGGTCTTTTTTTTCCCACTTAAAAAAAAAGTGCTTTTTGTAACATGGCCTCTAGAGTCAAAAGTTACTGATTTTTACTCCCTACTGGCCTACCTGTGTGAGTATGGCTAGCCTTGATTCTCCCCCTCCCTTCCTAACATCAACACCCTCCCCCATCTCCATTTTCCTCCCATGCCTCCCTACACACACCACACTTTCCTTTCTTTTTTTGTGTTATGTGATTTTCAAGGTCCTGAAGTCTAAGAACAGCATTGGTGGGGCTGCAAGTTCATACTAATGAGTCCTGTGCCCCCTGTAGGTCTTTAAACCTGATCTGAAACAATTTGTTCTCTATGATTGAATTTAGGAACTAACTTCTCTTAACACTGTAACTTTTTTGGGCTGAATAATCCAGCCATTCGCTTGCCTGCTTCCTTAGGCAAGCCTAGGTCATAATGGGTGATAATGTCACGGGCCACTGTAGACTTCGTGTTTGTTTTCTGTTTTTATTGAATTAGTTTCCATTTCAAAGCAACATCTGGCTGCTTGGCAGCCAACCCTACACATCTTAGGTTTACAACATCGATGTCTGTTGGGCAGACTGCGTGAAATCTTTCCCAAAGTTGTCAATTTTGGCCTCATCTTAACTAGCCATCAGGAGGAGAGACAGGTGTAATAGGGCCACCCACAAAACTGACATTACTGATATAGTAGAACGACTGTTTTCTTTCTCAATTTGCATTCAATTTAGTGAAAATGAATTAAAGTACTTGAAATTTGACCATATTTGATGGTATCAATAAGGGACCATATCTGTCAAATATCTGTGGATAAAAAGACTACAAACAAAAGTCTTAAAGAGAAAAAATACTTTAAATATGAATTAATTCTTTCAATTTTTTTTGCATTAAAGTTATCAGTCACAAGGGTATCTTTTTAATTCAGTGTCATTTTTCAAAAGGTTCTTTCAATAATATTTACCTAATAAGTTTTAAACTTAAATTTTAATAAGAAATAGTTTAGAGTTTGATTTCTTCTTTTAATTTTTAATACAAGTACAAGAAAACCCTATATTAGTTAATCCTGCTCTCTCTCTTTCTTTCTTTTTCTTTCTTTCCTTCTTCCTTTTTTTTTTTTAGGTATAGAATCCCATTGTGTATATGTCAAACAATAGATTTCTACTGCAAAAACACAATCTTTGGTTGCTACCCTGGCTCATAGGGGTGTCTGAGTGATCTGGTACACCAATCACTGGATAGCAGCCTGCATTACAGGGCTTAGTTGCAAGGAGCCTGCTGGTCTTGCTGCCTGCCAGTACCCGTAGGTGTCGCCAGGTGCACAGACACTTACTGAGAAGTGGGGGATGAGAAGAAGGGGGTGAGGAGAGAAAAAAAAAAACAAGCCACAGGGAAAAACAAATCTCAGAAAATGTCAGCAAAATAACTTTAAAAAAAATGAATTAGTCCTTTTTTTCTTAGAAACTTCCCTCTATCTTGTGTATCTCCCAATCTAATAATAATGTACTCAAACATTTTAGCAGTTGTAATCCCCCAAATCTAATAAAAATAGCAAAAAAAAAGTCAAGAATGGGGCAAAAAGGTTCATAATTAATATAAAGAAAAAAAATGTGGCAGCTGATTTTTTTTAAAAGTTCATAAACAACAAATAATCTTTCCTGTGTGATCGATGCTTTTCACTTAATGTAGCTTTTTTCCATGTTTAAAATCATAGGAAAACTGCAGTTGTTTGGGGACTTATTCATGTTAGAAGGCTACATTTTGAGTGTCTTTTCATTTCTAGAATTTCTGCCATATCAAACTAGACTCGGCTATAAAAATATGATCAGGAAAGGAAAAAAACCAAACAAACCATGGTCAGGAAACCATACCAGTAAAGCCCATGATGGCTCCCTCTCTTGATTGCCTGCGGAGTCCATCTTCATCTCGAAAGTCGATGTATACGATATCTATGGCTTGTAGACCAAAGGCTTTTGCAACAACGATAATCTTTTGCCGGGCATAGAGAATATCTTGAGTTTCCTTACTACTTGTTGCACCTGAAAATGGGTTATTATAGACAAAGGAGAATGTTTGACTTTGGAAGACTAACACAAGTCTTCACTATTAAAACATAATTTTTCTTTGTGAAATAACAGCTACTAAAATGATTAAATACAGATGAAAGGGGGTGGCTTAAACCTAAGTTTAATCTGAGGAATATTCTTTCTTTCTCTCTCTTTCTTTCTCTCTCTTTCTTCCTTTCTTCCTTCCTCCCTTTCTTTCTCTCTTTCTTTCTTTCTTTCTTTCTTTCTTTCTTTCTTTTTTTCTTTCTTTCTGCCTATCTCCCAAAAGTCTTATTGCAATTTAAAGCTACTTTAGCTATTAAAGCTTAAAACTGCACTAAGATTTTTGTCATATGTATATATAATATGTGCATATATTATATCCATATTTATCTTGAGGTATTTTTTATTATATACACAAAAAGTTACACTTTTCTCTCACATAATATCATCAGGGGAATCTAGATCAACAATGACTTTTGATAAATCTTTCCTTCCTTCTATTGATTATTTGCTTTTGAAAACCATCAAATCAAATCAACAGTACTATTACACAGGTGGTCTTGCAGCCATCTAAGGAACTAGTTTAAAACTCCCTCTGAGAATTGAATGACAAGCTTTTCTTTGCAAATCCTATCATAAGTGATGTCCTGTATCAAATCCTTAAACTTATTTGGATAGAAGATTTGGAAAAACTGGATGCCTCACTGACTTCTGACATTCTCTCTCAAAGTTCACAGAACTTCCTGACAATATAACCTACTCATAGGGATACCAGTATTAAACAAAATTTTGTTTCCTTCCTCTCCAGGCTCACTATTCTTTTGTAGCTTATGAAATTGCCTGGGATAGTCCAAACACTTATGTCTACTCTAATTTTAGGTCTGAAAAATAATGTTTTTTGCAATATTGTATTTTCTAAATACACATATTTTCCCAGTAATGTTTATATATAATTCAAAATCACATTTTATAAGAGAGTACAAACAATAGTGAAGGATGTTGTAGGAAGTGGGAGACTATGGGTGTGGAATACTGAATATATTGTTAAATATGGCTATGTCGGTTATTTTGGTTGAACTGTTTCTCCCCCCCCCCTTTAAAATCTTTGTACAATAAATGGCTCACTGGATAGGGGAGAGGACCTGGATATACTTGCAAATAATATGATGTAAAAATAAAACATATCAACAATATTTTTAAAAATTCAAGGACAGAGTAGCATCTTAATAGACATTTAAAATGCAAAGTGTTACACAGTATATTTTAGGGGAAATTTGAGATTTTAAAATTATTTTAATCCATTATTTTCACATGGAAAACACTAAATAGATCAAGCCAAAATTTCATGAGAAATGGAAATCACCACAAATTATCCATGTTTGAAAATAACCTGATAGTTGAATGTTCATAGTATTGCCTTTAAATAGACTGGAAAACAAATTATTTTTAAATTGTGTAGTTGTAGAGTTAATCCAGAGACTTAAAAACATATGAACAATAGATCTGTATAATATCATCAAACTATTTTGATAAGTTATTTTACATTAGTTACTTTATTCTTGGGTGATAATAATAGTACCTCAGTGGTCTACAAAGAGGTTTAGGATGCATGGCCAAAAATTTGGGAGAAAGATTTTGAACGTTAGAGTACACCTAAAAATTATTTCACCAAAGACCACACCAGAGCAGGCTAGTGAACATCAATACTTTTTTGAACTATGGCTTTGAAAAATACAAATTAATATGCATTCGAGTATTTGGAACCTATGCTAGCCCGGAAATCCTCTCCTCCAAAAACGACTGCATCTAGATGAAGACCAGCTCGAGATCCAGTCTTCAGTGTTTCTTCACAGACAGCCTTTAAAAGAGTACAACAAAAGTGATTTTCACAGAAATGTCGGCACCAGAAAAAAGAGTGAGATATAACAGTAATATGTCACTACCTAAATCTTGACACCTTTTGGCTGTAATCAGCCCAAAACACGGCCCTAACTCTCCTTGTGTGAAAGGTATTCAACACCATCAATAACATACAAGACAATTAGTGTGGATGTAAGACCTATATTTGATGGTGCTGCTTTTACAAAGTTCACATTCTTTAGCTAATATCATTTGAGCAAAATTTTAAAAATTCAATTTGATTGCACTAGAAGCTGGCTGTATTCTTTCCTCAAATCTTCCTGCTTGAAGAGACTGATTGTCTATCAACATTTTGAGGAGGCAGCTTGGGAATTTAAGAACAAATTAAAGTACTGGTCACCAGTGTGACATCAGTAGTAGATTTCTTATTGCTTGTTTTTGGGGACAGTGCAATTCATAAACCTGTAAACACACAGCAGGAAATTAGAAAGTGGAACAAGTTGTGTCTGATATATATGAACAGGGAACATACTTTAACGGCTTTCTATCAAACCCAGGGTCTGATAATGTTTGTTGTGATGCTACAAATATGGTGATGTAAGTGTACATGAAAAAAGGGGTAGAGAGCACATCTGGTATATTTCCTGATATATTCCATTTTATCTTTTCTAGTTGTTAGGGAGGATTCTAGTCCACTTGAAGAAAATGCTAAAACAGATTAAAATTATGTCTGTCAATGTATGTTGGTATTCAAGATGACTGTGTCTTTTGGGTAATGCATTTAATTATATTCAGGGAGATCTAGGACAGGCTATAACAATTTGTGGTTTAGCTATGTAAATACACTGACCACTAGGCAGGCCTTACACCAGCTCTGGAAATCCTTGCAACATACCACTCCTCACAGTCCAATAGGTCTCAACTTTCTTTTGGAGTATTTTCTCAAGTACATGGTCACTCCAGAACAGGCATTCGGTTTTCTTTTTCCTTTGTGACCAGTGATTTCTGCTCTCTACCCCCACCCAAACTCCCCTACCTCCCCCACCTCTTTCCATGGAAACCTAGGCTGGAAACTCAGAGAAAGGGGTGCTATGTTAGGGCTGTACAAGTCCATTAGATTGATGGGGCATTTTTAGGTAAGTTTATTAATACCTACTTTTTGAGGGAGAATGAGATAGCTAAGGCAGGTAATTTAATAAGGCAATCCACTAATGCTGATATCTTTGGAAATTTTTTGGATATCTTTGAATTACTATCACATGCCCAAATAGGTTAAGTAAAACTGGAAAATGTCGTTACCCACTTAACTTTTTACATTCTCCTTTTTAAAAAAATCACGTTTTAGCTGTGACATCTTGCAGCATGCAGGGATATAATATGCTGGGGCATATTTACCCGTTCTAACATAGCAAACAACATGTAAGGTGCTCTAAACCACATGTCAACATTCACTCATAAACGTTAACGTTGTCTAATTTCCATCATGTGCATCACAAATACTATAGGTCATGTTCAGTGAAAGCATACTGGAAGATGTCACAGTCAGAGTAGGGTTTTTAAAAAAGAAGAATTAAAAAAGTTAAGTGAGTAATAGCATTTTCCAGTTTTGCTTAACCAGTTTAGGCATGTGATAGTAATTCAAAGTTTGCATTTTATTTACAAGATGAATGGATGACAAAAGTTATTACTGGAAAGACATGGTATCTGGAGGAGACATTTCATTGAAATATTTAGAATTTTACGAAGGAAGTTTTTTTCTTTTGCACTTAATGAGTCTCTGTTATTTTCTAAGACTCTTTCAACTGTTTTTTGTCAGTCCTAATTAACAGGTGATGATTAATGTTTACCTAGCTTGTGACTCCATATAGGAAAATATTTTTTAAGATGATAAAGCAGATTAGTGAAAGGAAAGCTGTCTTTAGGTGACTTATAAAATTTTAACTCTTCAATCATATCATTATTTTCTTACCTTAAAATTGAGCAAACCCATGGCAGTTTCCACAAAAGGGATTAAATTCATTGGTTCTACAAGTGTTCGGCCTTTTAAGTGGAATAAAAATTTGTCTGAAAACTAAAAATCAGAAGAAATGTCATTGGTAATTATATAAAAATCAATTTATAGGTTGTTGAAATTTAGACATACAAATAGCACTGTCATCTTTCACCTGAGGAAGCAACCCTTCCCCCCAACCACTTCGAGGCTTATTTGGTTCTCTTCCCCCCCCAACCCAAACAAACATGAAACAGGAAAAAAAAAAGGACCTACTCCAAGCCTCAATGATAAAACCCTAAGTATCAAGTTCGAGGCCTAGGATTTGGAACTACAGCACACTCAGATTCTGAAGTTTTCAAGGTTTTTTTGCAAAAGATATACTTAACCCCTATTCCCTTGCTTGGTTAAATGCAAATCATCAGGCCCTTAAAACAATGAACAATTGATCTACCTGCTATTCTGTTTTTGTTTCATGCCCAACACTGACATCACTGTAACTGTTCAGCAGCCTTCTAAGTGGCATCCATATTATTCATTACAGCACCATTACCCTTTGTTCAGAGGCTTTTCTTCATAATTTTTTAGCTTACCTAGGAAGACCTTAAAAAGGAAGTTTAATTCTTTGAAGACCAAAGCTTTCCAATTTTTTCCATGAGACCAGTTCACAGCTAGCTCTGAGCTGCCAGTGGGGTAGCCCAAATTCCAAAATCTATCATCTGGAAACATACAAAAGCTCTTGCACAGATTTTTTTTTACCCCCCTTTCAAAAGGGGAAAAAATACTCCTAAATTATAAATCTATTATGTTCATCTAGATTGTATAATTTGTGGGGAGATGAAAAAATATCACAGGTATGATAAAGATATTTTTGTAAATAAAGACAAAAATAGCATATATATCCGTTTTAAATTTAAGGAATATTCAACCATTAATGGATATCAAAGGAAAAGGGAATTTTAATCATCTCTCCATTCAGTCTCAGTTGGGTAAATCATATCTAAGAGATTTGCATAAATATAAACCATCAAAGACTTTTCATCTTCAAAGGGGGTTTCAAGACCCTATAAGCTTTGTACTGTAATCATCACAGGTCACAACCCTGCAGGAAAAAGGCTGCTATGGCAACATAAAAAACTAATGCTTAAGGCTTAGCATAATATTCTGACTAATAGAAAGGAAACTCATTTTAAAAGCTGGCAGCCTATTTACCAGAAGCGGGATTAGAGGTGTTATTTCCCCTTTTAGCTTCCCCCCTCCATTCCCAACCCCCCTGCCTAAAAAAAAAAATCTAATCACTGAGATCTTTAAAAAGCTTTTGAGCAATTTGCAGTAACTTTACAATTAGGCTAAAATAAATCACAGCTTTCGGTAATGAAGAATTATTCCCAGTCTCCTTCAGGGTCCTGTGTCTCCCCTGTCACCACCCCCACCCCTCTTCATTTTCTTCAGGCATCATCATCTTTCGTAACTTTTCCAGTGAAAGGGATAACTCAGTGAAAACAGTAAGAATGAACAGGATAAAGCTTTAATCTAAGTTACGAGAAAACAGATATTTAAATCACATGTCTAGTACTGGAAATTGGGTACTAAAATATTTGTGATGTTAGTGTTAACTATGTCTGAATATTAAAATTTTTTTTTGTTTAAAAAATGAGAAATGCTACATGTCTCATTATCTGAGGCAGGAGTTTTAATCACAGAAATCATCTAGTTTAAAAATAAGCAAAAATTCATTTCTCTGTTCTTAACAACAAAAAAACCCTTATAATACCATTTGTTTTTAAATTAAAAAGGACATTTTTAATTAAATATTCTTGCCCATCCTCCTCTTCCTCCTCCTTCTCTTTCTTAAAAAATTGCTCTAAGTACTAACACAAAAGGTAACTAGTGGAGAAGTTTCAATTAATTTTTTCAAAAGGAGACGATTAAATGTTTCCGGCCTGGTAAAGTGTTCATTTCAGTGAGGTGGAGGGGACGGGGTGGGGGGAGGAGAAGAAGGGGGGAAAAATCACAAAGAGATTGGGGAGGAGAAGAAGTAGCAGGCCTCAGCAATTCTTTCAATTCCAGTGCACACCCAATAGTGTGTTGGGAAGAATGCACACTGCTCGGATTTGTGGGAGAATTGTCCCATTACAAAGGAGGGAGAGTTACGCTTGTTATAGTCCAATAAGCCATGCCAGTCAAACAAGTACCCACACTAGGGACAAAAGGGAAGCAAGAGATTCTCAGACAAAAGAAAACAAGTAAGCCCATCTTTTAGTTGTGCATCAGCCTCGAGGTTTTATACTGCACATAAATAAAAAACGAGAGAAAAAAATAAACAGCAGAAGCACTTCTGTTAACTAGGGAATCTTATTAAAAAATACAAATTAGATGATCTAAATTTCAGCCTAGTTTATTAAGAAAAGGATTAGGCCAGTGGGAAAGGAGAAATATCTTGAATAAGGCACAGACTAAAATGAAAACTGGTGTGTGTGTGTATATATGTGTGTGTATGTGTGTGTGTGTGTGTGTGTGTGTGTGTGTGTGTGTGTGTGTGTGTTTCAAATAAATGAAATCGATGTTAAGTGTGGAGCCAAACAGGAAGCCTGCCTTCAGATTGCATTCCAATTTGCTTGGTTGCATGAAGGCCCTTCCTACACCCGTAAACCACAACCTGTATCTCTCAGTTTCTTCACTGCAACCCCTTGAGAAGCCAACTCCAGTTGATTTTAATTAATTTTTGGTCTCTGAATAGGGGTCTTCAGAAAGAATGTGGCATTTCTGGATGTATTCTGAAAGGGGAGGGGGAGTTCTGCTGTGTAGAATAACTATGAAATGTGTATTGCTGTGGTCCCATGTGCTCCCACCTCACTGATGTGATGTGCTGGATGGAAATAGCCGGTAAGTTTGCCTCCTGCCTTTCCATCCCTTCTCTGCAAAATCCCACACACTGACGTGGGATTTCCTTCTACGATATAGAATTAGGGCAGCCTCCTAAATAAAATCTACTCCCTTTTAACAATTAAAACAATTATAGTATAATTAGGCCTATTTCAAAGTTTTCTTAAGTAATTTGAAATGCCAGCCATTTTACATTTCAAGTTTTTATTGGCTGAAAAAGTCAGTCATGAAACACAAACACACCTGTCAGCAATTAAAAAGGGAAGAACTAGAGAGCTGTTCAGGAAATAATATCTGTGCTAATTAAAAACACTAGTTAAAAGCTTCCTGTTTATTCCTCCAGTTGCCCTAAGGAGTGACCTTTTCCTCCCCTTCTTTATGCTCATTTTTTCATATGTGGCTTGTGTGTTTTTGCTGTCTATGATTCCCAGTGAATCTTTGTAAAGCCTGTTTCCATAGCTGGACCTTTCAGGTGGCAGCAGTGTGTTTAGGGTCCGGCAGGGTGCAAGAAAGGATCAAATTCTCAGGCAAGTCGGCTTCCGGGATTGCTCTGCTGCTATTGAAGGGTATTGAAAGGTATTCCCCTCAAACACAAATCTGATTACAAAGCAGAAAGGTTATTATTATTTTTTTTAATGCTTCTTTCTTAGGGTCACTGAAGCTGTTCTGCAAAGAACTTTGGAAAAAAAAGCTCAGATTGGGAGGATATCAATGGAATGGACGCCTTCTTAGTCCCATTAGTTCTTAAGTGTCCCTTTCCTTCTTGCTACTCTGCATGTGTGCCTTTTAACAATCTGTGGCATAAAAGTAGTCATGTTACTACTGATCAATAGTTCTTATTAGGTCTTGGGCCTTTCATTAAAGCAACAATAGTAGCAGATCATTGGTTACTTACCCATCGTATTTCTTCAGGATTTTCAACCTTTGGCAGCATCAAGCTGGAAGGGAGGACCTGGGATTGCAGCAAGGCCTCCAAGTCTTTCTCAGCAAGACCACTAGAGACTGCGTTGATCCTTACACACTTTTCGGTAGGGCCCAAATCAAACTCTTCCAGGGTCTTCACTATTCTCAGTCTTGCTTCCTCCTACAGTCATGAACAGGAGGTATTTCTTAAATTTATTTTTCCATCAAGTGGATCACATGGGACTGTAAATATAACATATCCACTTCCAAACCAGAGTGCCACTCAGACATTTTCCCTACAAATATCTCTCAATAATGTTTGAGGGCTACTAAAACACTGACCATGGCTACCATAACACACAATAAAAACACTTTAAAACAGCTGCATCTTTTTTTTTTTAAAGAATGTTTCCCAGAACCTAAGTCAGAGTAACAGGTTCACAGAGTAGATGCTTTAACAAATATTTGTTGAATGAATGAATGAGTAAACATGGGGTATTTCCATTTAAAATCTAGCAGCAATAACAATATTCTGGCTGTTCATATATACTTTCACATAGGAAGAGATAAAGTTTCTTTTTCCACATACATCTTCCTTTTTTTTTTTACTTTAAAAAAATCTTTATTTTTTTTACTCGCTCTTTTTAACTGAGTTGAATCTTGCCACTCAATTTAAAGAAGCTTGTGCGAGCCTGACACCACGTCCTATAGAGTAAGCTCCAAACCATTTCAGTTGGAAAGCAATCCTATCACAAAACTCCCTAGAAGTGATAGGCAAAGATACTTCTCCCTTGAAATTGACAGAGACTTTGCTCACTGGTCAAAAAAGCCTGCTTCAGAATATGAATTTTATCTGGGGGTGGGGTGGGGAGGACATCTGAAATGAAACTTTAACAAAAAATTTGCCCGAGATGGGGTGGCAGTGGGAGAGAAGGAGAAAAGACGGAGTTGGGGGTGGGGTAGGGGGAGACTGTGGAGAGGAACGGAAGCTTTGAGGAGAAAGAAGGCTTTGGGTTTGCTACTTCCTGCCAATTTCAGTTTCCAAAACAAATTCCTGCAACTTGCCAACAGCCTTCAACAAATTCTCATTGTTGGAATGAACACTTATCAAAAGTAGTTTCATTTGGGAAGGGTTTTTTATGATACTAATAAAACTTTAAAGCCTCCCTTACCACTGATGAATGTTTGTTTTTTTTTAAACAATATGCAGTTATCTGGACGGCACTATTTCTCTGGGAAATAGGCAAACCTAAGGCAAGAAGAATTATCCAAGGCCATATTCAGGCTAATACTAATCAGTGAGACAACACATGACAGTAGATTTAAACCAGACGGATGTAGGTCTCTGGCTGTGACTGGAAAGACAGAAGCTTTCCAAATGTGGCCTGAGTTAAAACTGTGAGGAAACAGTAGCTTACAGTTGTCAGGTCAGATCAGAATAAGGGCTCTAAGACCACTTTAAGACAGCTTGTGGTGTCCTGATTTACAGGGCTGGGGCTGCCAATAATTAGGCTAAGTTCAGACAGTAGTGAAGGATGGCTCCCACCAACTAAAAAGAAGGCATAATGAAGCGAAAGGTTAACAAACTTGAATCAAACGGCCTGTGGCTCGGCCCTGCCCCATCCTTTGGGCCTTTCCAAAGCTCTAAGACATGAATGCACTTCCTCCTCACCTCGGCTTTTAGAATTCCCAGCTTCTTTCAAAGCTCAGCTGAAATGCTACCTCCTACATGAGGCCTTTCCTGATCCACCCCCCCAGCTGCCAGTCCCAACTCCTCCCCCCATTACCTTGTATATACTCTGTCTCTTTTCAATCAACTTATATGTCTATGTGTTATCTCTTCTGAGAGAATACAGTCTCCTTGAGGGCAGGGGCTGATTCATGTTTGCTTTTGTAGTCCTAGCACCTAACACGGTACCTGGCACCGAGTAAGCACGGGAATGCTTGATGATTTATTGATGTCTATCCATCAATATTCTGTATACCAAATACAGTGTTGCATGCCTATGATAAAACTGCAAGTTCAGAGGTTAACTCTGCTAAATCAGTAGGGCTATAGAGAAAAATTCCACAAATTCTCTTGTCATGAGTTGGTCCCCTTATGTCCATGGCTTAAACCTGTGCAGTATACTACATTGAACTGGCTCAGTGCTCGGTCGCAAATATTTCCACTTAGTGGTCTAATTTTCACTACAGCAAGTCAAACTCAAGCTGTGTCTATACGGAGAGAAATGTAGGGTTGGGGCAATTATCTGGACTATAGAGGTGAACGCAGGTTTTTTAAAACTCAAATCATCTAAATAATTGTCTCACTTCTCCACTTTACTTTGCATGTGTAGACACAACCTCAGTGATGTGGGATTCCTGGCAATGTCAACTTGCTAAATTGTTATTGTTGCAAGAAAGCAAAAGCTGCCCTGGAAGCCGTTTGGAGGTTCCACTTGGATTTGAAGTGGACGATTAGTTCAAAGCTCATGCTCTAAACCCATTTGTGATTTTAACTAACATCGGATTGCCATGGTTTCGGCACACTCTGCTCTACTTAGGAAAATTCAGACCTTGTGAAATTGGCTGCAAATGAAGGACCCAATTCCAATTTCGGGCATAATCTGATTAGTATTTTTCATGTTATAACAATGCACAGTGAACACTCAGAATTTTATTAGACTCCCCCCCCCCAACCCTTGGCCCAGAATTAAAATCAAGCCATCTCTCCATACCACCATCCTGGGCCTTTCAAAAAAAGAAATTCTGTCTTTTTAGGTATATTTCCACACAACACCCTTAATAACAGGCTGTTGCTTGTTGCAATTTACATAAACTAAGTGTGCATCCCTCTGGTATGTATCCCAAAATATCCAACAACTTCACTGAATTTACACCAACCAACAAGCATGTTGGGTTTTTTTCTTTTGGTATTTTAATGGTGAAATATGTTACTGTGCTAGCAAACACACCCATGCCATCTGTTGGGTTGAAAAGAGAGTCAGTTTCTGAGAACAATTAAGTTTTAGTTCTGGGTGTTTCAGCCAGAGAGCCACATTCCACTCGATAATGAAAAAAATATATTCTTTCTCACCTCTTTTTCTCAATCTATCTCTTCTGCTTTCTTCTAGTCTTCTCCCACCTTTCTCTCATCTCACCAGTCTCTCTCTTCCTCTTATAAATATACACAGACACCTCCATCTCTGCGTCATCTCTCCTTTTTCCTCTCTTCTCTGTCCCCCCACAAAAAAAAAACCCACAACCAAACACATATATCTCACTATCACATTTCTTTCACTTTTCCCTTCTCATGGTTGGCCTTATGGCCCCACAACTATGATCTTGTTAGGTGTATTACTAACTATGGAGCAGACTGATAGCCACCAGCTTCTCAGAATGGCTGTTAGGCTCATGCAGATGGGATTACCACAAGGTAAGTGCTTTCTGGGGAAAGTAAGAAAAGGAAATGAAAGCACAAATCAGGTCCCTAAAAAATAAAGGAAAAGGTTTTTTTTTTAAATGACAGTCAATTATTCAAAACTATAAACTCTTTGTTTCATATTCTAGAGGCAAAAATAGAATATTAAAATGAGTGAAAAGAAACTATGCTATTTCGACATTACATGGAAGACTGCTTGGGTAAACAGTATTAAATGCAGAAAAAGCCTGTTTCCTTAAGATCCAACAAGGCTACAGTATTGGCAGAGATGGAAAAATAGAATTAAATAGTTAGATTAGATCCTTTCTAATAATACCTCATTAAACAAACAGCACACTCTGTTCCATAATAAATCAGTATTAATGTATAATGAGAATTTCTTTTCAAGGACCATAGAATAAAAGAATGGAATTGAGCATGCAGTACATTATTCCCAGACACACATTCTAAAAACTGGTGCGTGTTAAAGTTTCAACTTGTATTGATCCTTCGTGCTATGGCTGGCTACATGGTGGACCAGTGGCTAATGAACACATCCTTAGACATAACCCACTGTAATATTTGACTCTGTCTGAGTGAGGAACCAAGGCGTATTGTGATTTCAGTGACTCTATATTCCCATCACCTGGGAAAGAGAAGGCCTCCATGACGTAGCAGAGCAGATAAATCAACCATCACCATGACATACAGACACTGAAATTAAAGAAGAAAATATGCATGCAGTTGGTTCAATTGGCACCCATTAAAGCTAATAACTAATCATCCTTGCAAGTTTCTATCTCTGAATTATCAAATCTGCAAAGAAAACAACATCCGTCCACTTTTACACTCCAGTGGAAGAGGTGGTCCCTCGCGGCAGGGCGGCACAGTCTCGCCATCTGGAGAATAAATCGAGTGTGAAGTACAGTATAGTTTGGGACCAAGCTCCGTGGCGGCAGCTCAGCAGTCAGTTCATTAGTTCCAAACTTCCAGGGATTAGAGCGGCATCAATTCTACTGTCGGATAGGATGAGACAGACAGAATACGAGTGTCAAGGAGGAATGTGACAACTAAGAAGGAGCCCCTTGGGCTTATTTATAAAACTACAAAGTATAAACACACCTAAATAAATGCCTTAAATAATAGCATTATCACAGTTTCATAACATCTGAATTAGCACCCTTCCCTTGCCCCCTCCCCCCCAAGCTGTATGTTAATGTATAACAATTTCAGTGACAATGGACAGGAGGTAGATTTTAGAAAACCCAGGTTCAGCAGTAAGTTGATATTTAAAAAATGTAAATATGTGGTCTAACTGAAATCTTGGTAATTAACATAAGAAATGAAATGAAATGTAACTACAATGTCTGGACGGTCAGAAAAAAATAGGTATGTATTTATATGTGTGTATATACACATATAATACACAGACACACACACACATATGTATGTACATACCCAATTTTCACCCCAACCACTGCTGATTGCCTCATCTTAGAAAACTACTTACTAATAAATTCTATCTTTTATTTACTTGTTCTCTTAAAATTTTTTTCTTATATTTATGAAGAGCTACAGTCAGTTTACCTTTCTTAGCCTCAATTTTTAAAGTGGGTATAATAATGCTTGTACCACTTAACTTATGGGGTTTTTTTTGGTGGAAGGCACCACTTAATGAACCTTAGACACTGTAAAAATGTGGGTTATTACTATGATTATGTTTCATTTTTCACTACAGGTTAAAGAGGAATCAGATAAGCTGCATGTAATAACATTAT